GCTTTAGCAGCACCATTCCCTGCTGTGGGAGTGCAGAATTGGGCTGATAAGGTTTCCTACTGCAGCAGAATCCCCCTCACCAGGGCAGCCTGTGAGATGAAGAGGTTAAGAAAACTTGGGAGTCCACAAACACTTGTCAAGCCAGGGAGGCCATGGGGGAAGCAGCTGGCAGTAACAAGACCTTAGAGGCTAGTCACTCAGCAAATGCAGCTGTCCAAACTGATTGGGAAGATGCAGATCGGTCCTCCCCCAAGTCCATTTAAACAAACCCTTTCTAACTTGCTTTGAAATTTTGCTTTTTCTGTTTGTATTGTTACTAACTATTTCTTATGTCACAGCGAGCTGTAAGAGGACTATCAAAACAGATATTTTCTAGCCGTGCTTCATGAGAATAAGAAAGAGTGAGATGTGACGGAACACGATTCAGGATGAAGAAAAGCATGCAGCAATTGGCAGGACTTTCATATGGACGTTGCTGTTATTGTGTGGTTTCATTGTATTCATGCTGCGCGGTGCACAACTGCACATGCCCAGACCTGCCATGAGATTGCCTGCTCCCTGCTTCCCCCACTCCTCCCCCTTTTGCCTGTGCCCTATTCTGATTTGCTCCCCTGTTTGTCTGTCTGATAGCCCACCCTCTGTTCTGCCCCTTTTTCCCTGGCGGGATGCTTAAGAATCGGGCGCACGCCTGAATAAAGAAGTCTGCTTGCACCCTTTCTGGTGTCCTGTTCCCCTTTTCGGACCGCGACAGAGGCTGTCTTCCAAAAGAATGGTCTTAGCAGTGTTTGTTTCGTGCTGCCTCAGGTTTCAGATACAGAAAACATCCTGGGCATTGTTCAGGCTGAAACCATCAAAGTCTCTGTGGAGGTCTACGATGTTAATCTGAGCATCAACATGCCTGAAGGTCAGTGGATGCCTCCCAGACAACACAGTCCGGGTGCATTTTACTACCTTGGCAGGTGGGCAACCAAAGCCCTTGGGAGGGGATGGCATAGCAGGCAAGGGTGGCACAGATCCATAAAGCACAGACCTTGCAAGCTGCGTGAAGTAAAGCACTGTCAGGGCACCAACAGCCTTGAGTCTCTCCCAACTGAACTTGGAAATGTGCAGCTTCGTGTGCAGATTGCATTTGGTGCTTTGGAACAACAGTCATCTGAACAGGCAGTTGGCAAGTCCCAAAGGCTCAGCACAGAAAATAAAGTAGCTGGATTTGTGCTTGGAAGCAAGGAAATGGAAACCAAACTCCTTGGCTTCTACCCTGCAGATCCTTGGAGTAAGAAGAGAAAGGGCAGCCAAGTAGCTAGAGAACACTTCCGAGAAGGGACACTTGCTGAAGAGGGTTTTGTGCCATCCAAGAACTCCAACTGTGTAGCTTGTGAGCTGGTGTACTCTGCAGCAGCTCACAAATATTCACCATTTCTTACCTCGCTCTGCGGGTTTTCTGCAGGTCCAGATGGCAGCTTGGAATTTGGAACCATTAATGTCCTTGATAATAAAAAGGAAGTCCTGAGTCTGCAGAACAAAGGCTTATATGACATCGAGTACAGGTGAGTCCAGCTGCCTGGTGCTGAACTTTTCCTCAGGCTCCCAGGCCTGCGTTCTCCCTCTGTCCATGGCTAGAACCTGTTCTCATGCTGCTCCCTTTTTTTTTTTCTTCTGGTCCTATGCAGAGTCCTGGCTGTGCTGGTGGCACCTGTGCTTTCAACTGCAGAGGTCTTCATTCTTTCCCTTTCTCCACAGTTTCAAGCTGACCACTGGAAGTGCCAAGAGGGGCGACTTGGAATCTCCCTTCACTGTCCGGCCGCAGAGGGCTGTGCTGAAAGCCTCCCGGCCACCTGTGAAAGTTGAGGTCCTCTTCCACCCCACGACTGAAGTGTTTCT